AAGGGGGGCGAAAGAGGAGTTTAGGATGGATCCCCTACTTCTCTCCCTCCCCAGCTGCAGCCCTGCCTGCCCTCCCGCAGCTAGCTGGAGTCTCACAGGCCACATGCTGCTGCACGCCCTTCCCGACCCTCCCAAAGCCCCAGCGGGTCAGGCTGCAGGGCAGGGAAGGGCCGTTGCCTTCCTTGAGCTGCGTTAACTGTTAAACCCTGGAGGCGGATGTTTGTGTGAAGAGGTGGCTGGCCCCGAGGAGCCGGGGCTGAAGTCTGAGAGGAGCTGGAAGGAAGCTGCACGGCTGGCTCAGAGCCCGCAGTACCCGCACTGTGCGTCCCCCTCGCCCACCACGATTGGGATTTAGCAAGCTGGACCCCTCCTCACCAGATGCAGCTGGTCCCCCTCCAGCCAGTGCCTCCAGCCTCGGTTCCTCTTCTCTCCTAGCTGCTCACACACCAGCTGATCCCCCTCCCAGAAGACAGTTGTCTGAAAAAAAGTAGAGGTGAAGACATGGTCCCAAGACAAGCGAGTCCTGGCAATACAGGTTTCCAGCAATGACACTGACTGTTCCTCTCAGAGAGGTTTTCAAATGCAGTCCCTAATCTGGTATCTCTTTTGGTGGCTTTTTGGGACTGATGCTCTGTTTGTGGGAGGTGAATGACCCTCTGGCTTCCAAGTGCGACAGAGTACTGCCAAGTGGGCTGGCGTTCTGTCTTTTCAGGGCTTTGCTCCAGAGGATAGTACCCTCTGGGTCCCAAAGTACTGGGTTTCTGGCTGTTTGGTGCTCATCCCCTCTGCTGAGTGATTTACTCATAGAACCACTTATTTCTGGACCTGCAGGGGCACACCAGCTCTGGGCTGGGCTCTCATCTGGTTCGTGAATCAAAAGCTGAGCAAGTCCCTGCACTTCCAGTGCACCCCAGTCCGCTGCCAAACTGCACTGCTTGGGGTTCTCACCTGGCACTTGCGTCCATCCACGGGTCCCAGGTCTTCCTCAAACTGGACTCCCAGGTCAAAATCCATAACATAGTCCCGCAGGGAGGTGATCGTGCGGATGACCATGTGATCTCCTGTGTGGATGATCTCTTTATCGGGCTTCAGGAGGCAAACCAGTTTTCGCAGCACCACATTGATATCTGGAGGATGAGACGGAGGGGAGTTCTGTGGACGACCTGGGCCCCTCCTCTAGCAGCATCCCCGCAGAGCTCCTCCACTCTTTTAGCCAGGGAGCCCCAGCCATGATACCTCCTCCCCTCTCCCATCACAGTGCAGAATTGATGGTCGCAGACAGAAGGACCAGAGGGTTCCCGAACCCCTTCCTCCCCTTTCCGATTTCTGACATTTTGGGAGACAGAAGGGAGCAAAAGGGGAGGAAGGAGCGGGATGAGGAAGGTGCAGTTACCTAAAGCGCGCAGGTAATTGTCCATGTTCTCCTGGGAGACGAAGCGGTAATAGCCGGTGAGGTTGGGAGGCATCCCGGGGCAGAGGGACGGGGCCGACGGCGAGGAGGAAAGAGGGCAAGGAGCGGTACAGGCACGGAGCTGGGGCTGAGCTGGCTCGCCGGCCGGGCCGGTCCCTCTCCCGCGGTGCGGCG